CAGTTGGGTTGGACTATAAAGAACGAATGATTTTCTAAAACTCTACTTATATATCTAGGCTTCCTATACAGATGAAAAGGAATGTGGGGGATATCTGCAGTTAACATAACGATTATCCCAAATTTTGGGCATATTGGTTTTCTAAACGCAGACGTTTTTGATTGAGTTGAATGTAACAAAGGTGTTCACTTTCAATTTTGGCATACTCATCCACAACATAATGGTGAAAAATATTGGCGCACCTTAAGACGTGGTTTTCTCCTTCTCTGTCTATGATCATGAAGGAATAGAAGTAATTGGAGGGAGTGTTTTTGTTAGGATGAGCTTGGCCTGTCGCTTTGATAAGTTTACGAATCTGGAAAAGATACCCATTTTGACCTTGCCACAAGATCATGAGATATTGTAGGACATCATATGCTCTATTTGTCTCAGGAATTCGTTTGATGGTGTTGTCTTGGTATCGAAGAACAATGTCTCTCTTACTATGCTCTTCACCCACCATAAGAATAGCGACGTCAACACAAGTTGGGGCATTAAATCTCCGTGCATGCTCCCCCTTAGGGACCTTGTCTGCACTGATTACAACCTGGTAACCATTGGAAGTGAATTGTTGAGCTGAATGTTTGAAACTTCTGATCACTGAATTGTATTGGTGGAACATCTCTTGGAGAGAGAGGATAATATCTAGTTGGACACCAGGAACATTGATGCACGCTGGTTGCCTTGCTGACATTCATCTCCCATGAAATAAATCTTGACAAACTTGGGCTTTTCGCCAGGCAGTGGCTGAATGGATCTGGTTTGTTGATAGACTTGACCTTGAACTTTGAAGATGGACATAAGTCCTGGCTCCACTATCTCCTGTGATGTACCAAAAGAAGACATTTGAAAACATGAATTGTACTTCCTGATGTTGGCCAGAAAGTGCTTTGACTCAGGGGTTTGACCAGATACCAAGGATTTCAATGACTCAGGAGGGGTTCCCACAAGACTAAACTTGCCTTCTCCATCACTATAGCACATTCCCCTGGATATTCCTTTCCACTTTTTAGCACCACATTCTTGTTAAGTAACCAAGAAGTGGTAATCTATCTCAGGTTGGTAACTTAAAGCAGCTCTGTTCCATTCAGGGTTATTTCTTCTTGTTTTTGCAGCAGCAACATGTTGGTCTTGCCTCTGGCACTCCCTTCTTTGTTGTAGTGCTTCATTGGCTCTCGTTGCTGCAGTGGATCTTTGGTTTCTGAGTTGTCAAGATGTACACTGTTCAGGTGTTTCCTCAGCCCTTGCTGTTGCAGTGGACACTTGGTTTCTGACTTGTCGAGATTCACACTCCTCAAGTGTCTCCCAATCCCTTGCAGTTGCGGTGGATTCTTTGTTGTTGAGACTCCCGCTACTCCATGTTTAGTTTGCTCGCCACAATGCCACTCTCTTTGTGGATGTCTTGGACTTGGAGAGGCTGGACTTCTTACGTTTTGGCATTTTGTGGGTGAGCTATAGGGAAAACAAATGGAAAAAGTTTGGAGTGTAAAGGAGGATTTATATATATATATAAATTGTTTTGATGTGAAAAAGATAGTTTTATCGATCAACGAATTAAGGACGTAGTTCTGTGCATGTGCAGATTTGCACTTTGGAGTTCGGTTCTAATATGATTACGACCGACTTGGGTCCAAAGCCATCTGCCTGTCAATTTTCAGGTCGACCATTAAAAGCGTTGAAAAGTTACTTCTGCACATGCACAGTTACGTCTTTGAGAATCACACTACAGCACATCTTCACCCTAGTGGAGTGAGCTTTCATCCTACAACGTGTGAGTTTCCTGGATCAAAGGATTAAAGAGATAGTTCTGCGCATGCGCAGATTCACACTCAAGGGCCCAAAAACCAAATAGCCCATGTTCACCAGGAGGTCCAGTTTGTTCTATGTGTCAACTTTGGTGGCAACTGACGTAATAGTTTGGGCGTGATTGGCGTTTCACACACGCAGACCGATGCACAGAAAATTATTTTTATTTATAAGATTATTTAGACGAATATACACCGAGTGGTCACAAGTAAATAGACACCTAATTTTTCGTCATTTAACTGATTTA